ATCAACATTATGAGGTAAATTATGAGGCGCTGTTTGGAGCAAAAATGATTAAATCAAGATAGTTTGGAAGCCATCAATTATTGTTTTAATTTTGATGATTTTGACATACAACTCATGAAAACCCAAAATCCCTTTCTCAAAAAATTAGAATATTATGAAAAGGTTCTCTGAACGAGCAATAAAAATAATCATCTGAATCAACAAAGTAACTCTAAACACCTGAAAAAGATTCCTGAGGCCTTTAAAAACTCCCAGCCTGGTTCATTACTCAAAACCGCAATCATGGGTCAGACTGCTGACCTGACTGCTGTCCAGAAGGCCATCACTGACATCCTCAAGCAAGAGGGTGAGAAACAGAAAGACATTTCTGAACGAATCGGCTGTTTGGTGTGCAATGAATCTAAAATATATGACAATTTAATTTTTATCATGACATTATGGAAAATAATGAACTTTATCACAATATTCTAATTTTATGACCAGCACCTGTATATATAAGCACTCGCCAAGATAAATCCACGGTGCACTTCCCTGGTTTGAAATTTTAGCACAGGTCATCACTCTTAGCAATCTGCAGCTCTCTGGACAGGAAATCAAATCAACTGCAGCCTCCTATGCTGCTGGTTAAGCTGATGAACCTGTAGACTGAAACTGATGATGAAGGTGCAGAAACTCCCCAAGCTTTTGATTTTTTTAATTTTTTTTTATCATCTACTTTTGCTGACTTTGGTGGTTTATTATAAAGGCTTGTTTGCTTGTGTATTTTGGACATTGTACTGCATTAATGAAACTGCACAATTTAAGGCTGCAGTAATGAGAAAACGGAACAAATGTACACTCACACACACCCGCATGCACGCACGCATACATTGAAAGTGCAATAACTTGACCCTGAACTGTGTTTGTGTGTATCTGCGTGGCGGGTGTGTGAATAATAGTCTCGCTGAGGCAGGAGAGATGGAAGCCAGAGCTCGCTCCTGAATCCCCCAAACACACAGCCGGCCAGCCAGACGCACGCACACGCATCCACATAGACATAAATATACATGCACCGAACCAAAAGTAACTCACACACACACACGCACACACACAATGAAGCTCAGCGAGACTATTGAAGCTCACACATACACACAAGGCCATGACTCTGCACCTTCTAGTCGCTGCCTTTATCTCCCCACTGTTCACCAACAAGCCTCGTAAGCCCCTGATGCATTGTTCCTGCAGACACACACGTATAGACACACATACGGACAGACAAATACACAATCATGGACTTGCACACACTTCTGCTGCATAAGCACTGTACCTCAGGGGTACCAGTGTTGGCACCAACACAGAAACCGAGAGGGAGAGTGGGACGGTGTTTATGTGGATGGGGTGGTCATGGTCGCGCAGGGGTGGGGTTAGTTTTCCTTTAGAGAGGCAGGGCTCTGTGCGTGTGTGTATTATTTTCGCACGGGTGTGGCTTTACATCACTGAGGTGTGTGTGTGTGCATGTGTGTGTGTGAGTGTCCCCAGCATGCTCGTGTTTACGGATCTCCAACAGCCCATAGTTAGAGTCGAGTGTGATTCTCTCTCATCTCACTGACCATGTGCCATTTCTCCTCCTGCGCTCCCGCTCACTAGATGCTGCCGGCAGAATGTCCGCCCCCGTCTCGGACTACTCGGATCCCGATCCCAACCACCTAGACCTGGCCGCTTATCTCCGGAGCGGCCGACCCGCCTCTGGAGAGCACACCACGTCAAGACCCGGTAAGAACAAGAGAGGAGAAAAAGAGGGAGGGAGGGAGGGAGGGAAGAGAGGATAGAAAGGTTTTGGGTCTGAGCCAAGAGGGATTATGACCGGTATGACCTCACTAGAAGAACAGACGAGTTATATATACGCACATCTGTGCCAATTTTCAACTCTGAAGCTCTCAGAAAGTTACCCAGGATAAGTTATTCCACTAAATATCCACATAAATGAAAGCTATTGAATATCAAAGATGGAAGATAATGCTTTCAGTTACTTTTTCATTAAACCCGTGTATTTACTAGTATTATCACTGGAAAAAGCAGATCTGAACTACATTTAGTATAGAAATGCATACTGTATCCGAGAAATAATGACACAGTTCATAAAAGTATGGGTTCTTTATCTTGCATGCTCAATTCATTACATACTATAAAGGGCTGCTGACTGTGCAGTGAGCCCTGAAAAACAAAAGCTCAACTTTAGCAGCAGTGCAGTTGCGGCAGTCACAGTGGGAGCCGAGGTTGTACAGCGACCTTCATGCTTATTGGCACTTCTATAATGATCTGCAAAGTTATTGCAGCAGCATGAGCCCACACTGAAAAAAATTACATTTATCCAATAGAGCATGAGATATTAGAGCAAAACAATTGTGTTTTTTTTTTTTGTTTGTTTTTTTTTTAGAATGTCAGTGTTAATACTTTTGTACAACCTTCTTTTTCCAATAAGTGGGACCCGTGATGGTGGGATAGAAAAAGTAATTTTATTTGCACCACCCAAACAATCAGCCGTCACATACATGGCATCTTCTGGTTGGTATGAAGATTCGGTGACCCCAACATGCCAGTCTTTGACCCAATTCTCCATTACCATTGTTTTATCCTCTTTAACTCTTGCTCTTTCTTAACTTGACAAAGTTCGGTCCAGTTGATTTTTTTTTTCCATCACTTCACTTGAAAAGCCTGTTCTTTTGTCTTTCCAGTTTTGAAGAGTGGCTTTTTGGGAGTGGGCTTCCATTTCATACCACGTTAATACACTGGAAAAAAATAGAAAGTCAGAAGTCATTAATTAAAATTTTTAGGCACTGATTAATTTAAAAAGGATAGTTGAATACAAAACTACAAGGGGTGACAAGTTTTCCATTGCCTGGTTATCCTGACTTGGTATCAACATGTTGACAGTAAAATATTTTGGTTTCCTATACTGATTAAATTCCCTAATATTCTGGATAAATTGATAATTTACTAACAGCTTAACAGATATGATTTTAATTATCACGTTTTTAAAGAAACTGTTTTTGGATCCTCCCACTTCATCCCCTCACCTTTTTGTCCCCACCCCCCCTTTTCACTTCCCTCAACCCACCCCTTAACTCCTCCTTCGAACCCACTCTTGCCTCCCTCCCGCCCCACACCTCCTGTTCTAACAGCAATGTTCGCCATGGAGATCAACGTTCAGCACGACCCGAAGACCGGCGAGCAGCGCATCCTGTCGGCCAATCGCGTCAGCCCGTTGGAGGCGGCTTTGCGGGGGGTCAAGGTCTACGACGATGGCAGGAAAGTCGTCTACGAGGTCACGTCCTCTGGGGGCGTCTCCACCAGCACCGTGGAGAACGGCTGGAGCTCTGCGCAGGTCGATGAGTTAGTCCAGCGAGCTGCCAGGCCTTCACATGCAGGAGGAGGAGGAGACAGCGGGAGGGGTCAGGTGACGGTAACCCCGGTTCCGCGTCAAGCTTACGTTTCTCCTGCTGATGTTGACGATCTGTCGCCACCCTCCTGTGCCCCACCATCCATTCCTTCCAGTCCACCAGCCCAGGTCACCCTCCAAAGGGAAACCCGGCTGGGCATGATGCCCCCTCCCTCTGCTCCCATTACAACCCAACCAGGTTCATCAGCCAATCAGAGCAACGAGCTCAGCCCCATGCCCCAAGCCAGCACGGAGCACCCCGTCACCATGGTGTTCCTCGGCTACCAGGACGTTGAGGACACAAGTGAGAGCAGGAGGCTGCTCGGCTTTGACGGTGCGGTCAAGGCCGAGGTCGTGCTCATCGACGAAGACGACGAGAAATCCCTGAGGGAGAAGACGGTCACCGACATCTCCATCATCGACGGCACCGCCGCCGACCTGGTGTCGGGACGGCCGGCCACGTCCGAGGCCGTCAGCACGGAACTGTCGTCTGACGGGCGCGAACCGGACAGCGCGTCCTCACCCCCTGCAAACCCAGAAGCAAACATAGCCCCGCCGCCCGGCCTCACCCCCGCCACAGGTACGGACAAGAGGAAACGGTGCCAGTGCTGCATCCTCATGTGACTGAGTCTTCTCCCTCTTCCAACCTTTTATTATCACCTTCCTCTGCGCTGTGTTTGGATGATTACTAACAGAAGCTCTGGCTTCCTCCTCTGGACTCTGAATGACTGGCACAACATGCACAAACACGCTCCATTTCTTGTCTCACTTTTGACTTTCTACTCAGCCACCTGATCATTTTTGCTCTCTCATTACCACTGTAACACTTCCATCTGCTGTCTTATCAGACAATGCGGTAATTTGTGACTTCAGATCATCAAAAAAGATGCAGGAAATAAGATGTTAAGAATATTCCTACCCCATTGAGCTGTTATGCATGTTGTGTGTGATTTTTATTGGGATTTTATTTGCTAGACCAACAGAAAGTTGCATATAATGGTGAAATGACAGAAAAATAACCAACGGTTTTCAAAAAATAATCATAAATAGAAAACAGCTCAAGTGAACGAAGACGAGATAAACCCAGCCTTTATGGGAAAGTGGCAGGAAGGAAAAACACCTTTGAAAGAAAGTTGTTAATATTTGTTTAATTCTTCCAGCAAGTCATTTGAGGGGGCATAGCAAACGTGTGGAAGAAGAGACTTTATTAGGGTGAGAGCAAACATATGTGTATAGCAGAGACCTGACACTGAACATGACGTAGAACACCATCTCCATCGTGAAATACACTGGTGGCAGTGTCATGACGTGGGGATGCTTTTCTCCAAGAGGGACGCGGAAGCCAGTCAAAGTCGATGTCAAGTTTGATTATGCTTAAGAAAGAGAAATCCCAGAAAGAAAACTTGCTAGGGGCAACAAAAGACTTGGATTCACCTTCCAAAATATATTAATGTTAGTATTATTCATGCCTAGTCAAAAGTTAGACTTGTATCCAATTGATAAACTGTGGCAAGTCTAAAAGTTCACGTTCAGAAAACTCTCCGTCCTGTCAAAACAGACTGGGCATTGATTTCAGTGTCTAGATGAGACGATGGAGAGTTACTCGTCAAAAGACTTGCGGCTATAATAGCAGTGAGGGGAGGTAGACACATGCGCATGCCGCACATTTAAGATTTCTTTTTATTAAAGAAGGTGAAAACAATATCTCATTTCCCTTCCGCTCTGCAATTATGCACCAATTTCTTTGGTCTATGAGGCTAAAATCCCAATAAAATAGAGAAGTTTGTGATTTTGAGGTGACAAAAACTGGAATAGCTTAAGGGATGAGAATATCTGTGCCAAAAAAAAGCTATGATTACAGAAAAGTCAGTCCGGGCAAAGGTGAAGAAATACAATAGGCTGCATCAGCTTTCTGTAAACAGGGCTTTACAGACAATCAGTCGCACATCAACCAACCAAATCATCTCCCCTGGAGTTACAGCTGATTAAGCGTTCAAACAAAGCACCACTTGTTTCTCATTAACTCTTTCTGTTAGGCCACATCCTCCTCTGTTAACCCTCAGCCTCCTGTTCGACACACGCCGACAAAAACAATCACACAGAGAAATGTACGAACTAAACCAGCCCACACTTTTCCTTGTACAGAGTCTCTCTCCAGAGACAGGAGAGGTGGGTATTTGTTGCCTTGGTTTCTTTACGTGCCTGTTCATTCTACCAACAAAGATAGTTCTAACAAAATATAGAGATAAATAGATGTTTCTATTAGACTTTTATTTCTTTGCTTCTCTTATGCAACCACACGTTGTTTTGTCTTGAACCTCAAAAATCCAACGATGCGCATTTCCGCGAGAAACCTTTTGTTTTCTCTCTCTTCTCCCTCTGCTGCTTCCACCACTAACTCCAGCAGCTCCACTGCTGAGGTCATTTCCTCTCATTCTTGTTCTTCCTAACTCACAAGCCAATAGGAAGGTCCGGATCACCATTTGGCAGCCAGTAGGATCAAAACGGCCAACTTTTCCAGTGTGTCTAATTATTAGAAGCACAGGCAGCTGAAAACAAATACACTCTGCAGCGTGAGAATGCATATTTAAACAGTTAAACATAAAATAATTTACAACTACTAACATAGAAGTGACGTTGGGACATGTGCTCTTATGAGCTTTTATTGGAAAAATAAAAGTTACATGTATTTTTTTGTAGCATCACTTAATTGATGTGGAAAACTAAACAAATACTACACTTTTTACAAAAACAAAAAGACTAAAAGCACTGCCAGCTCTTTCTACAGTCAGCACAGCCTTTGGCTAGAAGGATGCTAAAAATTCTCAAGGATTTGTGAAGGAGTTTGTAAGTCCAGTTTGCCATAAAAAAAATAAATAAATCAGGAAACTCACCTAACTTGCTTAATGCATGTACTCTGATCTTGACATGATTCACTCACCAGTCGGGCGTGTTCCAGTTTTAAATCAGACTATTAGTGGTATTAGATTCCTGTGCAGCTGACCACTATCAGGAATAAGCAATGTGATGAAACATCCATCTAAACTAGATGAGATGAAATTAAAAAAAAATAAAAATCAAGTTCAGGACAGAGATGAGATTTCAGAAATATTTTTTGGGAAAACAAAAACACAATATTTTGTGTGTTTTCACATATAAAATAATAATTTCAAAACCCAAAAGCAGTGTTTAAAAAAAAAAATCTTTAAAAAGGTGTTAAGTAAATATCCAGATTTGCTCTGTCTATATATATATATATATATATATATATATATATATATATATATATATATATATATATATATATATTTATATTTATTTAAAATAGTGCAAGAATTTCAAGACCTTACCAGATATGTGCCTCTGCCCTCTGATTTTTAGACACAACATTAATACTTCTCCACAGTTATCGACTTGTTTACTGACCCTGATCTTCTACTAAAGAACCTAACTTCCCCACCTGCTCTGGCTGATAACTCTGGTGGAAACAACAACAATTCCAGCCTTAAGTGGTCTCATGAATATGTTTTTTGTAGGTGATTCTGTCCACAAATCACACACTGAGCTCCCACTATGGGATTGCATTTTACTCTTCAAAACGAAAAAATATGCTTTAATTTGACCGGCTACAGCAAATGCCAGTAAATCCAGCAAGGTATTGGATTAGATACTGAACAGGTATGCTAGAATCTGGCGTCCTATGTTGAAAAAGAATGTAAATACCCTCTATATTTTATTTACTGATGCATTTATTTACCACATGTTTGTAGGTACAGAGAATAGTTCAAATTATGGTATTAGAAATATTCTGCAATGCCTTTTTAGTCACTGTTTGAGCGCACAATTAAGATCTTTATATTTCCACTCAACCCACTGCTTTGCCGTGTGTGATCTCACCATTAACCACACATAACTCTTCCCCCGTTTGTTTGCAACTGTTGTTTCAAAACTCTTGCGATATGAGATATTTTATTTACACCAAGCAAACCGAATGGCTCTCAAGGCTGAGGACAATGAGAATAACAATCCTTCTTTGCTCACCTGGGTTGGATAAAACATGCCTCATCCTACTTTGGTTTTATCGCTGAGCAAAGTATCCAGAAGTGTGCATGCTGGAAAGAGTTTGTTTTTTTAAATTATTTTCTTGTTTTCCCAGTATTGAACAAGGTAGTGGATAAAAAACTTCATTAGAAAACATTTTCACAGTTTGGGACTGTAGGAAGACCAATGCAGCTTCCCCGATTTGGTTTCTGCTTGTTGGGATGTAAAGTGAGGACAAACGCATTGGAAACTCAGTTTACCAGCCCCACTGCCAAGCCTGCAGTACTCCTGTGAATCTGTAGGAGTCTCCCTTTTCCTGTCTCTCTACCCTCACGGTTGTTTGGACTGTTGAAACAAAAATTAAGGAGCCATTTTCTATTGTTCACACCTCTCTCTGTACTTCCCTATCACTCTGTCACGTCCTCTATTCCACTCTCTCTCTCTCTGCTCTGACATCTGTAACCTCTCTCTCTATCCTCTGTCAATAAAGCTGAGTTTCTCCAGTGAACCCCCTGCTGTCTCCTGCTTGTTGTTCTTTCCATCTGTCTCTAACATTCACTTTTTTTCTTTGGCTGCTGACAAGAGATCACAAGCTGTCCTTACTGCACCCAGCTATCATAATGTCCACTGCCACTAACAAAGCACGCATATTTTGTTAGGGTTCAGATTTTACATAACATAATTTTTTTGGCATTATGCTCAGAACATTTGAACAGCATGTTTTTTTTTGTTGTTGTTTTTTTTTTGTCACATTGATAGAGGGAACAAAATATCTGAATTAATTACACAAAAACATTCAATCCTGTTGGTATGACCTTGTTTTAAGTCTAACTCAAGTTAACTCACGGTCAAAATCAAACAGACAGGCTTAAATAGCTACCCCCACTTATATAGTATTTACTAGAGGTGTGTGATATGTAAACAGGGCGTATTTTGTTATTGATAAGATACCAGGTAAATACTGGGCCAGTATCACCAATACTGATACGGACAGGTTTTATTATTTAAGTTTGACATATCATCATTTTTTCTTTTAATTATTTCTGTTAAAACCTAGAACAGAATTTGTGCAAAGTTGGTAAGTGCCTACCAAACACCATGATAGACAGAAAGAATAGAAAAACAAAACAAACTTGTGTGCATTTTTCCTAAATAAACAAAGTGCAGAAATGTTTAGTTTGGGAGCAAATCAAAACAAGATTCTTTCAGGTGGGGCTGAGAAACTGAAGTGCAAAAATAAAATAAATTTCAAGAGGAAATATCAAACTAAAGTATATTATCGATCCAGTAACGCTATTGGTGATATTTTGGATCGATCCACCCACCTCTTAAGAGTTAAAAGTGCCAACTTTGCATGATTTTGTAAATTATGATAATTTAATGCAAAATTGGCATTTTTAATGGACTTTCAATGCAACTTTTAAAGCAACTTTGCATTAAAGTGTAATTATTTACTGAATGAC